CTGTGGGCGGGCCCGGAAGAGCCTGCCCCCGGCTTCCTCGACGAGTGGTTCTTAAAGGGACACTATCAACCTTCTTCCTGACAGCGGCAAGGAAGACATTCATGCCTGCGGCCCATGACGAGCTCACTAAAACATGGCGGGCTCTATACTCAGCACGTGTAAACCCTTCTACTGCAGCTGCTCTTACCACCATTGACGGCGCTGAGGAAAAAGGGTACAGCAAGCTCCCCCCTCTCGAAGAGGCAGTAGCTACTTATCTGTGTCCAACGTCGACCCGCGGGCTCAAGACTGCAGCACACCCATCGAAGCCCTGCAGAATGGCGTCAGCCCTGGCCAACAGGTTTATGCAGGGGCTGCCCAGGCCGGCTCAGCCCTGCATATGCTGTCTGTGCTACAGGTATTTCAGGCCAAACTGCTCCGTGACATGGACTAGTCTGGCCGGGATCCTAGCGCCTTCAGAGACCTTTGCACGGCAACAGATCTGGCCCTGCGCACTACTAAAGCAACGACGCAGGCTGTTGCCAAGTCCATGGCCAACTTGGTGAAGCTGGAGCCCCACCTATGGCTGAAATTAACGGAAATCAGGCACGCCGAGAAAATGGCCTTCCTCAACTCCCCGGTCTCACCCAAGGGACTGTTCGGCCCTGCCATGGACGGATTCACAGAGTGCTTAACCGAGGCACGAAAGATATCACAAATGCTACGTCATTTTCTGCCTAAGCGCCCCAGCTTGGCAACTGTTTCAAGTCACCCAAAGACAGCATCCGCACAGCAGACTGCAAAGCCGGCGCAGCCTCAGCCCCCGCCTAAGCCGGAGCCAGGGCTTCAACAGCGCAACCGGACGGCCAGGAAGTCCCCCTTCCCGAAGGGCCAAGGTCCCCGCTCTCAAGTAGTGCTGGACCCAGAGCCCCAGAAGCCATCCTGATCTGTGCGCAGAGAGGAAGAGGAGAGAGGCAAGTTCTTGCCGAAGTCAGAACCCCCTCAAAAAAAGCTTGCGATCTTTCCCCACCTCTTTGAACACTTCTGAGTCACTCAGTGGTGGAGGTATTTTAACAGGGCACATACTGCAAGCTCAGCGTGTGCAACAAACTACTGCTGTGATAGCGGACCCACATACCCTAAAGAGCATTTCTCCACTCCCTGCAATCACGAATGTCAGTTCCCCGTCTCAGAGCGGCGAGCTGCCATTTATAAAAATAGAGCCTCTTGCCGCCCGGCTGCTGGCTTGGAAAGCCATTCCCGGCATGTCAGTCTGGATTCTAAAAATTATAGAATGAGGTTACTTGCTTCAGTTCGCTCGCAGGCTGCCATGTTTCAAAGGCATTGCACAAACTTTGGTATAGGACAATGAATGCACACATTCTCCGATCCGAAGTGCAAACATTGCTTGCAAAGGGTGCCATGAAAACGGTCCCCTTAACGAACAGTGAGTTTTTACAGCCAATACTTCCTTGTTCCCAAGAAAGATGGCGGGCTCAGACCAATTCTCGATCTCAGACATCTGAATCGTGCCCTCTTGCGACGGACGTTCAGACTGTTAACGTTGAAACAGATCCTCATTCAAATATGCCCCGGGGACTGGTTTTTGTCTTTTGATCTGAAAGACACATACATTCATATCCAAATAGCCCCCGTCACAGACTGTTCTTGAGATTCGCATTCGAGGGAGTGGCCTATTAGTACATGGTCCTTCCATTCGGACTGTCCGTGGTCCCCCGCACTTTTACGAAGTGCATGGATGCGGCTCTTTCCCCTCTGAGACAGACGGGAATACGCATTTTAAACTACCTCAATGACTGGCTAGTGCTAGCTGAATCAGAACGGGAACTTATCGCTCACAAGTCGTTGTTGCTCAACCATCTGGAGTGTCTTGGGTTGAAAATCAATTCAGCCAAGAGTTATCTGACTCCCAGACAGTGAGGGACATTTCTGGGAACAGTTATAGACTGTGCAAGCTTGGATTTAAGCCAGAACGCTCCCTGAACATACAACGAGTGGCGGCATCATTCATGTTGGGGACTGCGTGTCCCTCAGGGTATTTCAGAGGATGCTCAGCCTCATGGCAGCCGCCTCCTCAGTTATTCCCCTGGGCCTGCAACACATGCGGCCCCTCCGGTATTGGCTAAAAACTTGTGTACCATCCCACACCTGGTGCCTGGACCGATATTATGTCAGGGTAACCCATTGCTGTGTCAAAGCTGTGGCTCCTTGGACAACTCCTCATCTGTACTTACCAGGCATACAGTTGGGAACGACCTCCAGGAGGAAGGATGTCACGATGGACACCTCAAGCTCGGACTGGGGCACTCTGTACGAGGGCAATCCGGCGTTCGGCTCCTGGTTGATCCACGAGCAATGCCTACACATCAACTGCCTCGAAATGATGGCTGTTTGTCTGGCCCTGAACACCTTCCTGCCAGCCTTAAAGGTGCACCATGTCCTAGTCCGTTTTGACAACACAACTGTGGTAGCCTATATCAATCGCCAAGGCTGCCTCAGGTCACGTTCCCTTTACAGGATGATCCAGCATCTCCTGGCAGAGGTGGTCCTCTTCTCCTCTGAAGACAACTGCCACTGCCCAATCTATAGCCGCGTTTCCACTGTCGGGCCAAAAGCAGGCGTGCCAGGGCCAGTCCCACTGCGTTTCCACTGTCACTTCTGGGGCTTGATCGCGCCTCATCAGGGCTTCATTGGGGCCAGCGGCCAGGGTTTTTTTGGCCCGCCGAAAGCGGGCCAGCCCGGGCTTGAGGAGTGGCTATGAACAAAGGCGGAGTTTCTCCACATCTGGAGAGCGTCAGCGCCACAGATTATTTCACCAGCATTAAAGACTTTTAAAATAATTATATTACTATTAAACTATGCGCAAGTCCACCTACGGCAAAAGCTGCTTTAAACGCAAAGGATGGTCACACCAAATGTTGATTTAATTAAGTTAATAGAAGTTAATTGATAAAGAAAATCAATTTATGACCTTTTAACAGTACTGTAGCTTTGCAGGTAGGTTTCTTGAATCATCTTGGAGACGTTGCCACAGTTCTTCTGGATTTAGTCTGCCTCAGTTTGTTCTGTCTCTTCATGTCATTCCAGACAGACTGGATGATGATGAGATCAGACCTCTGTGTGGAGCACTGGCTGTTGTCAGACTCCTTCTGTAAACAAAAATCTCACTGAATTATTACAATTAATGGCAAAATGAATGTTTGGAAATGTAAACTGATATTTCCTACTGACACACGACAGCAAAACATGGAAATAACTGACTTTAAACCATGTTTAGCTGGTGAAAATACTAGTGTCCTAATAATTTTGGCCACCACTGTGCATTCACAAAATTTTACAGAGTTGATGTGACTAGTGCAACACCAGTCAGCACTGCTGTTTTAATGTCCATTGCCCAGCGAGGGTCGAATGGTACGGATTCAGTAGTTCCTCGCGACCCTTTTGACATGAGTCATCCTATTTAGGTCGAAACAAATCGTAAGTTATGAATATAACTATGGATCTGTGAGACCGAAGGATGACCGTCACTGTCCTAGTCGCTCAGAATACTAAGGTGTTCAAGGTAAGAGGACAATCCGGAAGGTCATCACGCTTTTATAGTATGGGAAGCTCCGCCTCCAGTGCCATGGGCATGACTTTGTTTACATAAGGTCTCGAGAGAAGGCAGAAAGAAGGTTATGATTCTATTTAGACCGTTAGTGATGGTCATCCTTCAGTTTCATAGATTCATTGTTATATTCATAACTTACGTTATGTTAGTAACCGGAGCATTAGCCTGGTTAGCCCTGAGCCTGTGGAGTTTTGGTTCACCAATGGAGTTTTAGTTCCTTGCCACTGTCGCCTTTTGACTTGTTTAGTTTAGGACACTTGATTTCTGGAAATTTTGTCGACATGATTGCACAGACACTATTTGAATTGAACTGAGCTGGATGATGACATCACTGAATCATTGATGAACTGAACTGAACTAAAAAAAATGAGTGTTCACTGTTGTCCTCTTGCATTATTGACACACTATTTTGCTGTTTAACACTGTAAAGCTGCTTTGACACAGTCTGTATTGTATAAAGCGCTATATAAATAAAGGTGACTTGACTTGACTGGTGCAGAAGTACAGTTTATATCCACATATTTATAACAGTATTAAAAAATATATATCAAAATATGAGGAAACTTTTTAATGTAGGGATCTGTGCCCCAGTACTGATGAAAACCAGCATTTACATTTATGCAGACACTTTTATTCAAAGGGATTTGTATTGCATTCAAGGAACACATTTTGCTTTCCCTGAGAATCAAACCTATGACCTTGATGTTGCTAGAGCCATGATCTACTGAGTGAGCTACAGGAAGCCCTATTGCTGTTAAAGAAATAGTTCACCCAAAATGTAGATTATTTTGTTTTCTTATCAGATAGATTTGGAAACATTTTACAACACTTGCTCGCCAGTGGATCCTCTGCAGTGGGTGCCGTCAGAATCCAAACAGAGTCCAAACAGCTGATAAAAACATCACAATAATCCAAAAGTAATAGAAATTACTCCAGTCTATAAACTGATGTCTTGTGAAGTGAAAAGCTGTGTTTTTGTAAGAAACAAATGCATCATTAAGGCATATTAACTTGCAACCATCACTTAGCTTCTTTCTCCAAATCTATTCCAATAAAGGAACAAACTCATCTACATCTTGGCTGGCCTGAGGATGAGTACATTTTTAGCAAATTTTCATTTTTGGATGAACTATTCCTTTAATAAGTTATCTTCGTTGTTGAATATACAGTATACAAACAGAGAGGACAACATAGATACGAATAAAGGAATGCAATGCAAAACAGGAATAAAATTAGTAGTGCCATAAACATTTTGACACCGTGATTAAATTTTTTCCTGACAGAAATTTGATTGATACCATCAGTTCATGCCAGTAAAGATTCCTTCCATTTGACTTGACATTGTTCAAAACAGGGTTCGGGGGTTGCTGTTCATCTGTACTCCAGAGCTATGGACTCACGTACGGTGTTTGTCTTATTATGGATGTTGCTGTCGTCCACCTCCACTGGGATCAAACTAGATGGAAATGGTTATGTTGACGTTGTCATTGCAATCAGTTCAAAAGTACCACAGGATATCAGACTTATTGATAAAATCAAGGTGAATATGTACTGTTTTGTCTATTTAACAAACTTCATGTACTTCAATGGTTTTAGAGGTTTTTACATTTTTAAAACATTTTCTCATTTTATCTTTTCACTTCTTCTGACAGGAGATGGTCACTGAGGGGTCGTTTTACCTTTATGATGCATTGGATGAAAAGGTCTATTTCAGAGAAGCTACAATACTAGTCCCACCTCAGTGGAACGGTACAAACTTTACCAAAGCAAGAACAGAGTCCTTTGGAAAGGTACAGAGAATAATGCCATTTTATCTTGCCTGCCAAATATTGTTCAAAAATTAATGACTTCACTTGCATAGGATGCTTCTCAGACCAATTCTATGTGAAATGCAGGCCAAAATAAGAATTGATAATGCTAATCCAGCATACGGTGTTGAACCATACACTAATCAATATGGAGAATGTGGAGCTGAGGGAGAGTACATTCATTTCACCCCAGAATACCTCCTGAATGACACTTTAATTGAGCTTTATGGATCAAGAGGTGAACATTGTTTATATTCCTTCAACATTTAAACATTTATCATGAAATAAGAGAAGTCGGAAAGGTCTATTAATTCAGTATTATGTTTGTTTTATAAGCAGTTTGCTTGTTTGTTTGCAGGAAGAGTCTTTGTGCATGAGTGGGCTCATGTGAGATGGGGCGTGTATGACGAATGCAATGGAGAAAAGCCATTTTACCACTCTAATGGCCATATTGAAGCTACAAGGTGATAACAAAAAGAAAGCATATGATTAAAAAGCATATGATCTCCTTGGAAATGATCTCAGCCATTGGTTTCCTGCTTATCTTTAGGTGTAGCAAAAACATTGAAGGTCAGTTTTATGAAGTTACTGCTGGAGGATCTCTGCAACAGTGCCGCATTGATCCACAAACTTCACTACCTACCAAAGGGTGCATGTTTTTTCCAGACAGAAATCAAATAACAAACAGCTCCATTATGTTCTTACCGGGTCTGGATCCTGTAAGTATTGATTGAACACACATCCACACATGAATGTAAGCAATTATTATATGTTGCAATCAAACTTATAGCAAAATTTAGTAGTTCTGTATGATGTTTCAGGGTTGGCATCATCTGAGGTCCTCTGAGGGGTTGGCATCATCATTTCTCAGGTGTTCTGGATCCAGACTGAAGCTTGTGTAAATCCTAGTTACCACGGGATGTCAATCCTGTGG